CCCCCCTCCCGCTCTAACTCTACTTTTTGTTTCCCTCATTATTTCCCCCACTCTTTCTACCAACCCTTCCCTTACTCCCCTCCTCCTCAACGCCTCCACCAATATCCCCCTATACACCGAATCAAACGACGCTTTAAAATCTACAAATAATGCAATCAATTTCCCCCCCTTTTTCCTTACCTGCCTATTTACTAAATAATTCAATACATAGATGTTATCCGTCGTTCCCCTTCCTAAAACCCGTTTGATTCGGTGGAATTAGCCCCTTCCCTTCCACTTCCTCCCTCAATCTTTCCATCAATGCCTCCGTATATACTTTGTATAACGTCGGCATTATCGACACTCCCCTATAATTCTTCACCTCTTCCCCCTGCCCTTTTTTCCTTACCGGCATCACCACTCCCTCTTTCCATTCCTCTGGCCATCCCCCCTTCCAAACTTCATTACATCCCCTCCACAACCATTCTTCCATCTTCTCCCCCCCCCATACTTCCATACTTCATTCGGAATCCTGTCCACCCCCATTGCCTTTCCATCCTTCAAATTCCTCGTCACTTTTCTTATCTCCTCCCTACTCAGCTCCCTTTCTCCCCCCTGTCCCTCCCTCATATTCTTTCCCCTTACTTTTTCACTACTTTCCTTTCTACCCCCCTAACAATTCTTTGAAGTATTCCTCCCACTCCCTCATCTTTATCCTCTTATTTATCCCCTTCCATTTCTTTCTTTCCCCATTCACTATTTCCCATACTTGCCCTTCACTCTTTGCTCCCTCCACTTTTCTTTCCCATCTTTCATTCTTTTCTTTTTTCTTTAGCTCGCACAGCTCCTTATATTCCCTTTTTTCTCTCTTATACTCCTCTCCATTTCTATTCCCTTTCCTCCACCCTCTTAATACCCTTCTCATCCTCTTCTTCTCTATACACTCCTTGTTCCACCATCCCTTCCCTTCCTTTCTTTACCTCTCTCCTTTTCGATACTTCCCAAAACCTCTCTTATTCTTTTTTCCGTTTCCTTCATATTCTCCTCCCCCCCTCCCCTCCCTCCATTCCACTTCTCCCAGCCTTTCCCTTATTTTTTCCCTTTTCCTTTCCTCCCCTCCATGCTACTATCAAAAGATGATGATCCGATTCTATCGCATCTCCTACTTCCATACACTCAATCTGCTCCCTTGCTTCTTCATCCACCAAAACATAATCTATCACTGATTCCCCCTTCCCCCTGTATAAGTCCAGTTACCCTCCTCATCCCCTTTTATATTGCCATTTAATATTGCCCACCCTCTCTCCCTTATAATTCCCACCAGTTTCCTTCCTTCTTTATTTACCTTACTATTCTTTGATCTTCTCTCCTCTTCCTCCTCTCCTTCTATCTCCTCCGTTATTCTCCCGCTCCCTCCCCGTCCTAACATTAAAATCCCCCCTATCACCGTTTTTACCCCTTCTTCCCTCCCCTCCATCCATTCAACCATGCCCTCCAGCTTACTTTGCAAGTCCATGTTTATGTATACCCCCACCACCCTTACCCTGTTTTCTCCAACTTTCATCACCCCCGTCATCATCCCATCCATTTCCTTCCTCCCTCTCTCTCCCACATACAGTTCTCTTTTTATCCCCATTATCATTCCCCCCATTGCCCTCCCTTTCTTATTCCTTTTTCTTGCATTCTGTATTCTCCACACATATCCATCCGGTAACCTCTTCCTTAATTTTTTCTCTCCCTTTTCCTCCACCCATGTTTCCATCAATACCATTGATTCCCATCTTTTCAAATTATCCCAAAACTCTCTATCCTTATTTCCTAACCCTGCTACATTCCAAAACACTATCCTCATCACTTTTTCTTCCTCCCCTCCTCTCTCCCCTCCTCATTCCTCTGCTCTCCGTTCCCTATCACTCCTTTTCTATTCCCCCCTTTCCCCACCCCACCTTTTGGTCCTTTCTCCCCCCCTTTTTACACCGAATTTTAATCTCTACCCCTCCCTTGTCCCTTCCCCCCTGTTCTTCCCCCATCTCCATTCCCTCCCTTCTCTTCCTTTCCGCTCCCTTATTCCTCCCTTTCCGCTCCCTTATTCCTTTCTCCCACCTTATTATCCTCCCCTTTCCCCCCATTTCCTCCCCCATCCATCCCTTCGTTCCTCCCTTTCTTCATCCCACTTCCACCATACCCCTTCTATCCAT